GTGAAATAATCCTACATGAAATTAAAACTTATATATATTCATCTAAGTTTCACAGCGTATTACATTGCTTTTAATACAATTTGTAATAAATTTTATTAACGTCATGTACTTTACAGACAATTTTTAATATCTGAAGGTTACGTGTTTTTTTTCAGTGAAATTAATGTGACAAATTTTGGCCTAGAACTACGTCTTTGTCGACTATACTGGGGTGCAAATCAAAAAATATGTGTGGTGAAGTAGTGTTAGGTTTTGAACGCTTGTAACTTTGTCATTTATAGATGAAATTAAAATCCAAATACGCCAATCGATAGGATATAACTTAACAAATCTGCTAAAATAAATACTTTTCCAATTTTTAATCAAAAAACTTTTGAAAAATGCACAAATGCTAATTTTATCACTGTTTTCATGAACAAAACGTTTTCCCCAAACCCAGTCATCATAAACAAATACCAATTGGTTGCACATCATTCTGATTGAACCTGAAAGGATATAAAACAGCGCTGCTGTCGTGCCACTACTCATTACCGCTTCGGATGGCGTGGCACTTGGTCCTGCAGTAAGCAGGACCAAGTCAGCGGATAAAAAGGTGGATCACGGCGTGACCACAAAATGGGAAATTATGTATGTACGCCTCCCTCCTTAACAACATCCTCCCCCTCCTTAACAACAACAACCCGGAAAGTACATGGTCTTTGACGATCACTTTTTCCGGGAAATAAATTTTAAGCAAAACCACAATTATTAGGCCGTTTGCAATGCTGAGTTTCAAAATTTTTTCAAACTACTCGACAATTCTATAATTTGAAACTGTCAAAAATAAAACAGCAACACGCACAGTTCTAAAAGATGTTTGTAATCATCAAGTTTCATCAAATTTACTGTTCTCTATGAAGTTCTCCTTTTTTTTTTGTTTGTGAAGCTCTTCGAAACATCTTTAAACATATCCAAAGTAATTTGAAACAGAGTTCCATTCGTGTTTCAAACTCGCTCAGAAATAAAACAGAATAGTCGAGCAATTGCAAATCTGGTGCAAAATAGTGCTCGAATAATGAAACAGCAATTCAGCATTGCGAGAGGTGCGTTTCTGTTCTAGTTTCAAATTGAAACAGTCCTTATAAAATACAACAGCATTGCGAACGGCCTTAATGTGTATAGGCAAACTTTTTTCCGTTAATTCCCCCCCCCTTCCAAACTTCTGAAAAAAAATTCAACGCAATGCGATGATATTATGTTTGTGAATTACACACAACTGACTGTAAAACATATCTGGTACCTCTATATATGCAAGTAGATTATCATCCAAAGTCCATCTATTTTTTACATATTCTGCACAAAAGAAACTTTCTGCCCCGCCCCATTCATAAATAATGGCGGGAAATCCTGTCAGTTTCGGGGCTTAGAAAGTATGTATGTATTGTGCAGAATATGTAAAAAAGGAGGGACTTCGGATGTATTTTTTGTGCAAAATATGTAAAAAAGGAGGGACGTCGGATGTTAACCTAAATGCATATAAGGTGCAAAATTGATAGAGCAGCTGGTTCTACGTCATATTGCGGTCGTGTCTATAGGACACAACCCTTTACTTTTTTGAGTGTAGATGAATGTGAAACGCCATTTCAAATTCAAGGGCCGTTCATAAATAATGAGACAAATTGAAAGGGACCGGGACTAATCACAAATTACGTCCCCACAGTAACTGAAATAAACACGAGGGCTGACCGGTTGCTTCTACTTTAAGAATGAGTGCTCCTTCCTCTGTTCTGTTTCCTCGTGCGATATTGTGGAATTTGTGATAACCAGAGTTGATAATAGAAGAGTTACGCAGACTGAAACCAAAATCTACCTATCGAACTGTCAAACCGTCTACCTATCGAGCATAGTAGACGAACTGACTCTGTTGCGTGGGAAGTATTGTTATCGAAACTAGAGGAAACTTTCACAACCCAGGTGAAGTCATCCGAGGTGTAAACAAAAACAAAGGTTGCCAAAAAAATGTCCATTGATGGACATCAGTGTTGCAAGCTTCACTCTGCGTAATTCTTCTATTATCAACTCTGGTGATAACCATTACGCAGCAAAAGGAAAAATAGAATTCCGACGCAAAATCTCCATCGGGAACACGAATCGGAGAATTCGGATGATTTTATGACGATGGCACGATTCCCTGCCATAATGCGTCTTTAAATTTCTCTGCTGGTATCATTTTCGGCGGTCACCAGTGAGCCCAAATACACGAACTCATCGACCACCTCGATTTCGTCACCATCAATCTGAACTCGGGGTGGGAGGCTAACATTGTCTTCCCTAGAACCTCTTCCTTTCATGTATTTTGTCTTTGATGCGTTGATGGCAAGTCCAATCCGCCTAGCTTCAGCCTTCAGTCTGATGTACGTTTCCGCCACCGTCTCAAAGTTCCGTGCCATGATTTCAATGTCAACGGCGAAGCCAAGAAGCTTGATGGACTTCCTTGAAGATCGTGCCATTCGTGTCTATCCCTGCTCTTCTGATCACACCTTCTAACGCGATGTTGAATAGCAGACACGAAAGTTCATCACCTTACCGTAACTCCCTTGGAGATTAAAAGGGACTCGAGAGTGTCCCCGATACTCGAACAACGCACATCACTCGATCCATCGTCGCCTTGACCAATCGCGTCAGTCTATTCGGAAATCCGTACTCGTGCATAATCTGCCATAGCTGATCTCGATCGATTGTGTCGTATGCGGATTTGAAATCGATGAACAAATGATGTGTAGGCACGTTGTATTCGTGGCATTTCTGCAGAACCTGCCGAATCGCGAAAATTCGATCCATGGTAGCGCGGGCACCCATGAATCCCGCCTGGTATTGCCCCACAAACTCTCTTGCAAATGGTGACAGGCGGCGGCATAGAATTTGGGAGAGTACCTTGTAGGCGGCGCTCAGCAGTGTGATCGCACGGTAGTTCAAGCAATCCAACTTGTCGCCTTTTTTGTATATTGGGTAATCGACACTTTCCATCCACTCCTCCGGTAATACCTCCTCCTCACAAATCTTGTATTTTAATAGCTCACTTGGTAGTTGATCTACACCAGTTGCTTTGTTGTTCTTCAGCCGACCGATCTCCTCCTCAATTTCTTGAAGATCAGGGGCCGGTAGCCTGTCGTCTTCTACGCGTGCTCCAAGGTCTGTTCCCGTGCCACCTTCGTTTTTTGCTGCATCACCGTTGAGGTGCTCGTCATAGTGCTTCCACCTTTCAATCACCTCACACTCGTTCGTGAAAAGGTTACCGTCCAAGTCCTTGCACATATCGGCTTGCGGCACGTAGCCTTTACGCGAACTATTTAGCTACTCGTAGAACTTCCGTGTGTCGTTTACGCGGTACAGATTATCCATCGCACCGCGATCTCGATCTTCCTGCTAACGCTTCTTCCTTCAGAATACCGAGCTTTGTCTGTTCCAGGCTTGTCTGTATCGCTCCACATTCAATCTCGTGCGGTGTTGCAGCATTCTCGCCCGTGCTGCATTCTTCTCCTCTACTAACAGTTTGCATTCGCTGTCAAACCAGTTATTTCTTCGGCCCAGGATCGCAGTACCTAGTGCCGCTGCAGCAGTACTAATGACGATGATGTAGTCTCTCCAAATAGCTTCCATGACGTCATCGAGGATCTAGGAACAATATATCCGAAAACTACGTCAAGGAAACAGAGTTGTGTCTGGGAGTCGTCAAGACGTTTGATCGAGATGACTTCTCACAGCAGTGGATTTCATGCTTTTATTCGAAATGGATAACTTATATGAAAAAATAAGGAAATTATTTTGATCTAGATTAATTTAGCTTGTCTCTAGAGCAGTTTAAAACAAAAACATTTTTTGCCACTCAGTGCAGAAAAGTGCTACTTTTTGACACTCTTTTGAATTGTCATAACGGTCTACTTTTCCGAGCTTAAATAACGAGACTTACCGAGTTGGATAATTACGACGAGTGCCGAAAAAATAGAATTTTACAACGAGTTGCTTACAAGATTATTTGCAATCAAAAAGCCAGGACCAATGGCTTTGTTTCCGCCTCACAACGACCTTGGGCTGGGATTGAACCCAGACACACTGGGGAGAGAAAGTAGTCACACTTACCACTACACAACCGCCGCCGTCAAATTAGTGGATGCCAAGGATCGGCCCTGTATCCCTACGGGACCGAGCCGTGGACGTAGCATGCACTAAAAGCTTTTCAGCGCTGCGTGCTTTGCACCATATTTGCTGACTTAATATAAAAACAGTAGTGCATAGGGGAGAAGAGTGAACTACAAACTTGCGCTATGGCGAACCAGCATCCCGAAAGTCACTGGAAGGTTGTTAAACTACCGGAAAAGATTCTCGTAATGATCATGTTTGCCTCGAATCCGGGCGGTTCAGAATTAAAGTAAAGTGTGATGAAAAGTAGGACAATCCTGTTCATTGTTTTGTTTGTTTTTATTAGATAGAATTTCAACCGATTATTTAATTTCTTTATGCTCACATATGTTTCTGTTATGCTCCTATTTTGGACATATTGTTAAAATCAAGGATTGAAGTAGCTTGCCTCTAGATTTTCTTTGCCAACGAGTCTATGTAATTCATTTAAACCCTAAATGGGTAGAAAAAATTGACATAACTTGCTTCAAATCTGAGTTTTAGCGATAGACCCAAACTAGGATATAAGCGAAGACAACAAATCAAGAAGACTGGCAACTCTTCCGTCATACGAACGCTATGAGAGGGGTACAATCGCGTCATCTGCCGCTTAAAGGTAAATGCTTCGAACGAATTTGATAGCAAAGATTACATCTTCAGAAGAAGGGTTTGTGTATTTGCTAATTTTTCTATGCGTTGCTTCCACTTTCACTCAAGCGCAACGTCATTGTATCTGTCGCTTGGATTCTGGCAAAGTTGCCAGTCTTCTTGATTTGATGTCTTCGATATAAGTCTAAATTATATTCCATTACGTTGCCTAGATTTCATTTTGCCTCAGGTTCTTGCGACAATCGTGTTTGTGAATCTAATTTTCACCGTCGTCACAGTCATGTTCCGGTACGGTGCTATAAAATCAACAAAGTGCTTAACATCAGGGCAGGCACGGCGATCGAATGGATATCCCATGTTGCGCGCATCCGGGTAGATACGATCACGAAGTCCACAGAACGAATGCGAATCGTCGCAATTTTTGGTTCTGAAATGTTTGGGATAAATTGTCATATACTTTGTTTTTTTTTTTAGCAAGGTAGGTTCTTACTCATCATAGTCAACGTCTACGGCGTCACCACTGTAGTTGGAAATCATCGCAAACAGATCGTACGTAACTCCTTCAACCGATCCCTTCGGGATGATCATGTGTTCAGGCCAGCCACAGTTACAGAACCGGAATTGGTCACTACCGGAAGCGTTTGATTCCGATATGTTGCGGAATGTTCTCTCGTAAGGAATGGTTACGCTGGATTGGTCGGATCTTCGGATGATGTTATTGATTCCAGGGTTCACTGAAATCATAAATGTGATTTTAAATATTTTAAGCACGAGTTGGTGAAATTTTTAATGATTACTTGATATTCTGAATGTGTCTAGCTCTATGGCATATAGACGTTGTTCTTCGAATGTTAGTTGGAGTCCTTTTTCATCATACTTGGGGGCTAGGTAGATACGAACCGTTCCGCGAAGTTTCCTGGAAGGAATAACTTTGTATCGGACAGTCAGTTATTGATCAACTGAAGTGCTTACGTACCTGTCGTAGATGTTGATGACTTGCAGTTGATACAGAAATGGCGCATGCTGGAGATGGGTAAACGTCGCAAACACATTTCCTTCGGGACCAAAATCTAGACCGGTTCCAAGATCAATTTGTGTCCGTTGCCAAAATGTCAACCACAAGTTGTTAGGCGAACCTTTCCGTTGAAGTCTTGTTTCAAGCTTTAAAAGTGTTATGCCCTGATAAGCCAAATCTGGATACGTGTAGGGTGAAAAACGATTCTTATGGTTTCTAAGAATTTGATCGACATACAAATGCCACCGGAAGAATATTGGATCCCGCATGGCCGTTGTTACATCACCCATTACTCCGAAGCTTTCTAAATATGTACCGTCTGGATCGTGGATATACGAAAGCATTATGTGACCATTGTTGTGCACATCCCCATAGAAATCCTTATTCGGACTCAGTATAGAGCTTTCTAAAATGTTTCCAAGCACGTTGATACCTTTTGGATTATCCAGTGGGATGCGTTCGCCGTTAGTCTTGAAATTGAAGTTACATGTGCTATTTATTTGCCGCTGTATAATTAAGCTATTACTTACCCCTATGGCAAATCCTTTATTAATGGACTGAATTATCCTGTTCAGCTGTGTCTCCATTTCCGCTATTGTAATATTCACTTGATCATTTGAACGATTAACGTCACTCAGCACCATTCCTTTGTATCTTGCTGGATGAGTTCTGTTATTCGCGCTTCTCAAAATTTTTGGATAGTAAGGCTCCTTGATAGGTTCTCGTAATTTGTTATAAGGCACTACCCGTCCTAGACCATTGCAAAATCGTTCAGCATGGTAACGAGCCACCATTTGGCTATGAAAATAGTAAAACAGTTCTCCTCGCCGATCCTTGTCCACAATTTCCCGGGGGCCTACAGCTGGATAAACCAAATGCCAATGCCAATGGTGTAGGTTAACACCGATATCCTCGCGAAAGTAGGCCAGTCTTTGCTCTGGCTCACTTTCCTGGGCAGTAAAACTCATCGGAATGTCGATTGCCATCTATAATTTGATGCAGTTTAGTACACCGTCTACCAATTCAAGTTACCGAAAAAAAAATCTCCTTACCCGTTCTCCTTGACTCACGATTCGACCTTCCTCTCGCATTCGTGGAAAAATTGATGGATCAACGAACCTATCCGGAAACGTGTGCAAAAATGATGGAACCGTTACGTCTCTAGTATCCGGTCGATGCTGCAGTGCCACCGACAATGCATACTGGAAAAGTGGAGCATTCAATCGGTCACGTGAATAGGCGCACACCGCGCAGAGCGTATCCGCATCAGGTTGATCATTGAAGAGCTGAATCAACTGGCTGGCCACTTCACGATGTGCTTGGTTGAACAGAGAAAAGTCGCCTCGCCGAGGAATGGCCATGGCAAAGTTGATGTTTGGCGTTTCAATGGCTTTGATTGGAATACGCACGCTGGCGTTGGCACCAAATCGGTTCATCAAACTTTCCCCTATGGGCCTGTACCGATCGACCAGGAAATGCTGAGGCACATCGTAGAAGATTTGCCCGTTGTTCTTCGGCACGAACAAGGGCACATGGGGAGGATAGAAATATCCCGAGAACTTGACTTGATTGGAAACCATTTTCAACCGAATACTTCACGCAGAGTGAACTGACTGTTGCAGCGTTGCATCCGAAGTGTTTTTAAATGGGCAGCCCAAATCATAAATTTACTTCTGTGTGGTATCAAAAATAAGATATTAGCTACTAATACCACCAAGAAATTAGGTGACGACGCTAGAAAATAGGTCATTCTGCCATGTGATTAGAAAACCGCAATTGCATTGCGGTTGAAATTTGTATTTTCTCCTTATGCGCGCTATAATGTGAATTAGTCAGTCCTCAGTCAGTTATGTTATCGAGTGCGCATGACGGCAAAGTAAGTATGTATTCGCATAATGCAACCACTAATTCCACAACATTTGTAGAACGGTTGCTTCCGAATGGTCACGCGTGATCGAGGTTATCCTGCCGGGCAGCAAACAGATTGTTTTTATCTGGAACAAACTCACCAAATCCAACCATGATCCATGACCAATGGTAAATTCACTTGTATGAACATTAGCATGGCTGATCGCCCACGGCCGATACACCATTTCTGCCAAATCAACTGTAATTACACTGAGAACCCCAGGTAACATTGAAAGTTTTACAGTAATTTTAAAGCATGCTACAAGTCTAAAGCATGGTCTACAGAACCCTCATAAAACCAAAATTGTTACTTGGGGATGCTTGGGACTAGCATTCTCAATGTGCAAAAAACTGGTGATCCCAAACTTTATAATAGACAATACCGGCCGCGTCCGAATACAGGTCAAATAGGGATAGGGTATAAATGCGTTGACGCAACACACGCCTTGTTGGATGCCTCGCTCTGCAATTCCACGAGAACTAACCGGGACAAAAGAGGCTGGATCGCAGTTCAGTTTACCCCTCCGGTGAAGGGAAAAACTGACAGATACGCTCTTCTCGAAACGTTAACTTTTCGCTTAGCTGTTTGCTTTTCACGAGCAGCTGCATGTGTGATTAATAGTAAACGTAAGCGAAAAAGATGCGATCGACAACATCCGATTTCACTGGAACGTATCTGTTTACAGTTCCAAGCGAAGTTAAATATTTGCTAATTGTGTTTTTCACGCAGGTGAAAAATGTAGGACAGCGCTTTCCCGTTTTTGACAGCCCCTTTAAAAATTTAAGACTGACAAAAACAGTACATTTCTTTTTCATTATTATTTCGATCAAAATTATTACAGAATAATGAAACCCTGCCAATGACTATTATTTGTAAAAACTCTTCTAAACCATCAAATAATTAAAATTATTGAATCAATTTTCGCGATAAGGAAATATCCCTGTCCAAGGATGAGGGGCTTGACGATGGATCGTCAAGTGTCGATATAGGGTATACGTCCCTAACCTCGGTCTAATATGCAGCCATAGATTACGTTTTTAATCATAACTCATCAATTAATTTACCTGCAAACGATATTCTACTGCTAAATGGTATGCTTAGATATGCTTATCATGTCGTTTGCTATCAGGAACCGCAAAAAGTTGAAAAACTTACTTTTTTTAAGACAAAAACTCACCAGGGAAATGTATGTAATATCGGTCTATTGTCCCCAAATTGGGTCTATTTATGGATGCAACTTCGTCCTATCCTGTTTGATTCTCAAAAAAAACGCTCTTGGTAACGTTTTCTTATGTATTTTTTTTTATCACTATCACTGTTAACTTAATACTCTTCATTCCTCAAAACATTTCTTAGAGAAAATTTTACGAAAACTACATTAAATCACTCAAGTTAAAAATTAAAAATTAAAAATTTCGCTTATCGTCTTTCGACCGCAGAATATCTAAATCAAAACATTGTGATGTTCATTATACAGATTTGGCAGAAAAAATCTCCCTTCCTGTTCGTTCCTTATCATCCAAATGCAAACCACATTGTTGACGTTACTCTTATTGCTATATGCTGTCAAATGAATTTCATGGGCCAAAGTTAGGAACATAGAAAAGAAATGTGTCCCTAAAGTTGGGTCCATGATTTACTTGTGAAAACGTTGTTAAACAATTAAAATAAACATAAAATATTCAAACAGTAACTGTGAGTTTTACGTCTAGTGTGTATTATCAGGTAATTCCATTCAATAAATGCCATAATCAGGCCATTTGATGATCGTCAGTGCAACCTTCCCATCTTAACCTTAGAAGTCATGGCGGCTAAAAACTCCGAACAGAGTGATATTCTCAACCAGTTTTATTACTTACGAGAGCTGAAAATGTATTGAAATGTTGTGATATAAATTGATTTGTGTGTGGTACACATTTATCAATCATCAGTGATCAATATTTTCCTTATTTTTTGTGTAATATTCCTTAATTAATTATTTATTTGCGTGATAGGCCGAATGAAAGGACTAGACCCACATTACATACCGTAACCCTAGTCTAATTTTCTGAATCAAGGAATTGTTAGTATTAAATCCATAATATTAGATTATAATTGTACTAATAAATATAGTTTTAAAGTTGCAATTTAGCTTATTCGGAGTTGTTAATTAGCTTTAATTTTTATTTTATTTATTTATTTATTATTATTTTTATTTTATTTTTTTAGCTTTTTTTTTACGAAATTTGACTTTTCATACCTTTAAAATAACTAAAGTAACAGTGCCGCATGATCTAACAACAGCTGCCTATGACTTATGTTGGAGGGACCGACGGGTCTATACTAACATTATTCTAACACTAACAAGACCCCGAAACCAACGCTCATCTATTGCACTTGTAGTTAAAAGTAGTAATGTTTCATTATTAATTTATACTATCAGCTTTTTTTATCATTATTATTATCATCGCTCATATCTATCATTTTTATCATTATTATTGCTATAAGATAATTTTTTGTTCTTTCTTTTTTTGCGCCTTTTATGCATGTGAGACAACGAGATTGAACGAGAATAAAGTGAAATTTTAAAATCGAACCGATGAAATATACTGAAGGTGCAGTGTTGGTCAGGAAATTGTCTTTTCTCGGCTATTAGCAACCAGTTCTACAGAACGGAAGTGGGTTCCGAAGAACATCATAAAAAGGTGATTGAATTGCGAAAAAGTATCGTACAATTCATAAAAGACAACGTCGAGGAACTCAAACCTACCATTCTAATGACATTAAACTTATTGGATGGAGCCGGGTTGGATACAGATACACAAATTGCATTATTTCTTCAAAGGTTGGAAAATAGCAATGAATGGGGTGGATAGCTGAGATCGGAGAATTGATGTCTTCTTCGAAAATTGACCTGTTATTTCAGGTCAATACACCAGCAACAGCCAGTGGAGTCATAAGATTATTTAGCATACAAAGTAGCAGGAAGGGCATCACGAAATGTTGTACGAAATCATTACGATGTGGTTGTACAAAGATTAATAGAACCGTCTATAAGTCAAGTTAGCAGTGACAGTAGTTTCCAGCCACCGGCTTCTTGGATAACGAGAGTTCAGCGGAATGTAAGGATCGATTCATCACAGATTATTAACGATATGGACATCAACTCGACAGAAGTTACTTTAACAAACCGGGAAAGGCTCGACGATGGTATGAATTTCCGGTTTCTTACGTGAAACGCTCGCGGTTGCTCAGATGAAGCAAAAAGGTTTTCAATGGATTTGCTGTTTTCCAAGGAGCAGTATTCGTTAGTTGCTGTTCAGGAAACGGACTTCCGCAATGTACAATGGAAACACCGAACTATTACTGGTATAATGTTAACGTAGAAAACCCAAAGGATAGAGTTGGGGGTGGTGCAGCTATTATGGTAGCCAAACACATTTTTGAAGATTACCGTTTCAAGAAAATAAGTAATGACTCATGCTCGTAGGGGGGGGGGGGTTTGCTTCGGCAAGCCTGAGCGTCTGTTCTCCAGGAGGAGTGTCTCACAACAGCGTCTGTTCCCATGTTAGGGATCTACGTCCGAGTACCAGTGAAGGACTCTATGCACAACTGTGCACCCTGGTCCTCCGGAAAGTTAGGGGGTTGGTGTCAGGCCCTGCGAGCCAGCCGTAAAAAAAGCATTGCAACGGAAAATCAGCAACAGAGGAATACGAACCGAGACCAACGGCAACGACCCCAGCGACGAAATAGGACTTGCTAGTCTAGTCTAGTCTAGTCTAGTCTACACATACACAGCCAGTACTTGAAAGAATCCTGGAAAATGATACATCTATCATTTTTCTTGTCATTATTAATGCCTGCTGCACATCAAGGATGTGAAACAAACAATAAAGCGGCCAAGCCTACTGTGTAGCGTTTAGTTAATTTTTGTGGAAGTGAATGTTTACCATGTCTACTTAATAAGTATAGACAGTGGTTAACATTTAATCCACAGGTAATCAAAGAGCGGGGATATACCGTACCAACCGCTCCGTATGCAGGATTTGAAAATAGGCTATATAAATCGTTGGGAGTGACAGAGCTAAGAAAGTTAATGTACACTCCTTGGTTGTCCGATCTCCTGGGATGGAACACAGGTATTTACCCCTTGTGTTCGAGCGTACAGTCCTCCCTCCGTACAAGCGTGGACGGCACCGCCAACCCACTGCCATCCCTCAATCGATCCAGCTGACCTCAGTCGAAGGACAACAGAGAGCGGTGTGCGGACGTAACCTATACGGAGGGAATGCTGTATTCGCCTAGGTTATAGCGCCCTTGCTCGCTACCATTTTCTTCTAGCGGTTGGGACCTGAGCGCTAACTCTTGTCCTAGCCCTATATGGCATATGGTTATAGCGCCATTACTCGCTTTCTGAAAAGAGAAGAAGGGAAGGGAAGGAGAGGAAAAGGACTTGGGAAAAGGAAATGCGGAATTCCTTTCCTCATTAGTATTTGTATCGTCAACTTTTATGAAAACTATATAAATCATTTTTCCTTGGTCAGAGGTATTATTACGACATTTGAATAAGATTGTCTTATCATTTGTTATTCAAAATTTAATGTTATAATGATCAACATAGCTTTGGATTATCCAATATAAATCGGTAACACTGTCCTGCAACCGATGATTTTTCTAATCCGAAAACTAAAAGTTACGAAAAAGCACTGATGCCTTCATTAAGTTCCA